TTTTTATTGCTCAGTCGCATAGCAGACTTGTCAATTTTTATTATTTCTAGTCGTAAAGCAGAGTTTTAATAGTTTATTAGCCGCACAGAAGATTAAGTATTTTTATTTTCTAGTCTTAAAACTGACTTAATAGTTCTTTAGCTGCACAGCATACTGTAAATATCTTTATTTTTTTGTCGTACCTCAGACTGCTAAAATATTCATCTGTTAGCCGCACAGCAGACTTTTAATCTATCTATTTCTTAGTTGCAAAGCAGACTTTTTATAGTTTATCAGCCGCACTGCAGACAGTTTATGTATTCATTTCTTTCTTTCTCAAACAGCAGACTTCTAATATCTTTTCTACAGTAGAAATTTTTTTACAATAGAATAAAAAAAAATCCTAAATTACATACAAGAAATAACTGTATATTCACAGTCATATTGCTATTCAGTACAAATATATAAATATATATACTTACGTATATACATGTATATTTCTGTCTTCAGATATATGTAATGTTATTTTCTAATTAAACATTAATAAATATAAAAATATACAGAAATATAAATATAAACGTATATTCAGACATGTATACATTCGTCTATTGAAGATATTAAAGTTGTAAATTATTACAATCAATCAATATCTTGTTAATAATAAATAAACTTTAAAAAAAAAAATAATTTACTAATTTTATTCATTATGTGAATAGTTAGGTTATGTTAAATTTATTGCAACGTCACCAATCCACAGACCCGGTAAAGTTTGGCGCCAAGTCCCGTTTTTGATGTATACTAATCTTTTATGTATACTAAGTACATTTGTTAATTCGTCGGCAATGGATGCATTCGGTTCACCTAAGTTGTAACTGTGAGTTAGTACACATGCGTACACTTACAACTTTAATAACTTACTAAATTAAGTACAAAATTAGAAATTTTTGTTGGTCGAACACGCCCATTTACTAATGTCACACCTAAGCGTCACTACTGATCAGGCTGATCAGGGGTGGGCACGTAAAATACTATACGTATAATACTGTTATGCTTTCATCTAGTGGATGTTATTTTTATTTATTTAAAACTTTACTTACTGTAGTTCTTTCGCCCGGGAGTATTAAAATACTCGGTTTCAGTGCGGGAAAGGAATAATTTTAAATAAAAGAATTCTATTTAGACGTAGTTTAATTTTGATCAAAATTATTTAGTTCTTTTTAATTTATTATTCAAGTTGACAAGATATTAAAAGCTTGAAAATATAAAATTGAGGTTTACAATGACGTGATCTTAGCAATCTAATCTCTCGATGAGAAGTGTCGTTACATAGTTTTTCCGAAGATCTTCAAACTCCGTTCTTCTCCCACCATAACTTCCACACATACATCCACTCTAAGGAATAATGTATAATGATCCTTATACACTAACATGTATTTTCTCTATATCTATATATATTTACTTCAGCCTATCGGCCTGAAAGTTGGACTTCACTTATATATACTTTTAGCAATACAGTCATTATGTTTATTCAACTATTCTTATTAATTTAACAAACCCTTTTTAAAATCTATTTATAATAAAATTAACTTATAATTAACTTGAAATTAAGTTACAATAAAATTATAATAAACTATAACATGAAACTATATATATTATATTATTTATAATATGTTGGACTAATGTTTGAGTTTGAATAATTAATAATTTGGATTAAATATTATTTCTATCATTTTACATTCGAGTTTTCTAATAAAATTATAAGTCAGTTTAATTATTATCCTGTATAAAAGAATAGATATTATTATTTAATTATAAATTAAATAATAATTAGATAATGATTTAATAGTAAATTAGTTAACTAATAATTATTAGTTATAAATTAAATATAAGATACTAATTATTAATTATTTTAACTCAATTTTGCTTAACTACAATATTATATAAAGTTAGATTTTAACAGTAAATGTTATTTAACAATATTATTTTTGTTTAGTTACATATGTTTTTTTTTTATTATTCTTTGTTACTTTAGAACAAGGGTCTATTGAATTTCACACGTGTCTTTTACGACTTTTCCTCATAGGGTTTTAAGTTTCATCTGGCGAGAAAGTCCTTGAATTACTCAAGTACTTTTTATGGGTTTTGAAAATTCGGTTACAATGTACCTTTGTACCGAAATATGTTTTTTTTTATTTTATTTTCTTTTGTAAATAAAACAGAGTTAACCAAAAGATGTTTATTTTACAACTGGTAAGAGTAAAAGCATTAAATAAAGGACTGGAATATTTACTTCGAATATAAAATTTAACTAATTTTAATCATTTAATATTTACTAGTTTCAATATTTCGTTTGAATTCGCGCTCTCATAATAGATAGCGCTCTAATAACAGGTAGCGTCACCTGTTGGATGCACTGGGTGCATCACAATACATATATAAACTTTCGAACTATATGCTTTTCCCGACTCAGCTCGACGAGTTAAGTCGAAATATAGCAAAATTTTTAACAGTTCCGTCATGAGGACCAATGCAATAGTTAGATTTCTATAAAATCTACTAAAAAACTAGAAAAATGACAGTTTCAGATTGTAATTATTACAGATTTTGTAAGAATTACATTGTAAGCTGTAATAAATGTTTTTAATAGAGAAACGCACACTTCAAATCTCATGAAATCATTATTTTTGTAATCTAAATTTGAGCTTATCAATGTCAATTAATGATATCTAACTCAAAATTGAAGAATATCTCATTAGTATTGGATAGAACAAATTTTTATAATAAAAAATACATTTAACAAGTACTTGAAAGAAGAATTTTTATTATTATAGTAATAAAAAAACAATTACTAGAATATTATTTGATATTGTGTAGATAAAATAACTTTTAGTATGAAACCAATCGTTTCGTTAAATAGTATAAAAATGTTAAAAGTTAATTCGTGGATAATATCACTTATTGTGATAGTAATTTCTAACGAATGTTCTTCAAACGAAACTAGTCTTGATGTTACATGCGCTTTAAAGCATACTCTTGTAAGTATTTTCAATTACATTGCTAATTTCTTTTAAATAATTATCTTTGCCGATGTTAAACAGTGCAATCCCGATCTACCACGTCCATGTTGCGATTCAATAGATCAGTGTCAACGAACATGGCCAGACAATTACTTTCGATGCGTCGGGGACATTATCTTGAGTAATTATATAATTAAAATATTAATATTGTTATAAAAAAAAATTCATTCAAGCTAATTATTTATACTTATAACATTTTCCAAAAATTATGGGTACAATTCCCATAATTTAAGTAATCGCGCCCTGGCGGATCCGAATCACGGTAAAATACCGTAATTAAAATGATTCACGGTGAATAAAACCCGTAATTCGGCTATTTACCGAACTTCTCGGTAAAAATCGGTAAAGTCACCGTGTTTTCACGGTAATTCACGGTGAATTCACCGAAATTTACGGTGAAATTTTCATGAAACACCGTAAAACCACCGTAATTCTTCGAGATCTCAAATCACGGTAAAATGAAACGATTACGGTGAATTTAAGGTAAAATACGGTATTTCCCTGAAACACCGTGCCGTAACCTTTTCGTGTAATTTTGAGTTTCGTAGACATAATGTCTTATCCCGTAGATTTTGTTTAGCTGAAACTGAATGTCGCAATTATTCTTGCGAAATCATGGGCTATCAATTGTTGATAGCCATTTATTTAATCAATTGTTAAAAAAAATATATTTTTATAAAAAAAATAGTTTTTTTTTATTTCGTACAATTTTAAGGCAAAAGTTGCTCTTATAAAATTTGCGTATAGTTAAGAGTTTTTGAGTTTTGATTTTTTTTTAATTTGAAATACATATTTTTTCACAATTTTGAAGATTAATTACAAAAGAAAAAATTATTTAATATTAAAATAAATATGTATGAATGTAAAGAAGATCACCGAAAGTTCCTATTCAAAATATAAAATTCTGTTGTTGTTTGTTCAAAATACAAAAACAGAGCAATTAAAGTTGGTCCATTTGACAAGTAACTCGCTACAATTGGCGGCGCATGCA